TCTTTTGTTTTTCTACTACTTGGACTTTTTTGCGATTACTTTTCAGTAATTTAAAAGAATTTTTTACTGGTCAACTGACGTTTTTACRTTTGCCGTGAACGTCAAAAATCTAAAACTCTCTATTAACCGAGTTAATAACTAACTATATATTGACCTCGCATTTATAATGAAGGTTATAACAAAAATAAAGCCTTGTGGATAACAAAGAAAACCGTGTCAATTGAGATATAAATTTGACTTATAAACCTTTCAGTCACTCACTATCTACTACAGCTATTTTGGAAACAATAATATTTTCGAATGTTATACATTGGCAATGTCTCTCGTTGTTTAACATAAAATATACAAATGGCCACATACGTCATATATCTTATACAGTAAAACCCCGCGTGTAAGAACCTAAAATTTAAGTACCTGTCAGGCTGAAATTTTCATTTTAAGCACCATTCACATAAGAACCATTTCAACCATTTAAGTCAATCTGTGCATAACTTAGCACTACTGTGTTTTGTATGATTTATGTGCTTTTAATGCTTGCACTCTACTATATTCCATGTAGCTACACGTAGTGACTACTCTTTTTCTTATTTAAAAATTAAGAACCAATTTAAGAACCTAGATAGACTGATTTCAAGCTTAAGCACCATTTATATAAGAACCTGYTCAGGCTGAGTTAGAAAAATCTAGGTTCTTATACGMGGGGTTTTACTGTACTTCTAATCTTATTCCTGAATTTATCATTGAAATATAACAAGATTCACGACATTTGAAGTATCGATCCAAATCGCTAAACAAGTTGATGAACCGAGGAACCCTGGCTACAAGATTACTTTGTTTGACTTCACTCATGATGAAACTTTGTTTAAGAATTCTCGATAAGAGACCTTTCCTTCCATACCGTTGTCCAGCTCAGACAACAAGTGATAAATCTCTTCCTCGTCTAGAATGGTGTTGCACAAGCGTAGGACGGAACGGAATTCCGGGATTGTTAGGTAGCCATCGTTGTGAATATCCAGCTTACGGAACGCACGACGGAGATTTTTCCATTCACCAGACAGCTGTAAAATCAAGTCGCAATATAAGTATTTTGATGAGAGGTAGTAATAAGGTAACATCTCAATTAAGAGATCAACCTTTAATCAGCGGCCAACCTCTATTGAATGGCTAACCTCTATTGAGCAGCCAACTTCTAATAAGCGGTCAGATAATAATTTCTCGGAGATGGCCGATTGATAGAAATCCGATTGTAAAATGGAAATTTTTTTCATTGCACAAATATGCTTAGTGTCTGAGCATCTGAGCTGCATCTGGAAGGTTAATAGTGGTCAAAGATAAAACTTTTTCTGGATGAAAATCGAGRTATTATTTGCGTCTTATCTTACATACTCTTGAGATAAACGGATAAAAGAGTAACGGATGTACACAGGGAGCCCGGCTTTGGGATTTGTACATGAATAAATGAATCAATAAAGTGCTTTGGGTTTCCTGTGTTGAGATTTGAAACAAGGCGCTGATACGTTGAATTTCCGGTAATCGTACTACCAGTAACTTGATAGCAGATTAACGTAACGTATCAGTGTAACGCACGCCCTAGTAAATGGTAAGAAAGAGAGAAGGGCTGAAACTAATTTGAGTACCTATTTTTAAACCGCCGTTAAAATAATTCGCCAGGGTTATTTACCAGCAAATACAGCACCAAACAATCATATGACAAATAAACTTAACGACAGCATGTCTTATTTATAGGGAATATTAATCTGTGACACACAAAACAATGATATTTGTAAGCCATACTTTTAATGTATGTGGACCAGTGGTTGATGGGACCAGTTAGCTCTACAACCGTGACCTTCTGGTAAATATCCGCTTTCAAACAATAGACTTTGACAGATTCATGACAGTTTCATTGAAATGCAGCATTCTATTTTTATTGTCCTTTATATTATACATAGGCTCGTTTTCCGCCTCGCTCTAAACGAACTTTCTGGCGTACCAGAGAGGGGAAAGGTCCTATTCGTCCTTTTTCTTTATCAGAAACTCCATTTTCTTTCCCCAGAACTTTACAGAACATTTCATTTAACTTTGATAGTGGAACCTGGGATTCCACTCCAGATACAGAAAAGTTTTTCAAATCCTGAAGAAAAAAACATGAGATTTTAGATCCTGACGACGAAATTAACGGTCAAATATTTTGAAAAATATACCTTACTCACCATAACATAAAGTATTGTGCTCCTTGAATATTTGATTTGTTTTCATTTGATTCCAGATTCTGATTGCCAGCACTCGTCATGTTGACATTCAGACTGCGTTCCTCTAAAGCTTATTAGCGCTGGTCCCATCAACCGCTGGTGCACATGTAACAATAAACTCGCCTTGTTTCAGCCCTTCTCTCTTTCTTACCATTTACTAGGGCGTGCGTTACACTGATACGTTAMGTTAATCTGCTATCAAGTTACTGGTAGTACGATTACCGGAAATTCAACGTATCAGCGTCGTCTTGTTTCAAATCTCAAAACAGGAAACCCAAAGCACTTTATTGATTGATTTATTTATTTGTTTATGTACAAATCCCAAAGCCGGGCTCCCTGTGGGATGTATTGCTAACAATACATCCCATATCAGTGGTTTTTCTCACCTTCTGCCTCAGTTTCGAAGTTATTCCAGAAAGCCCTTTGTTTGGTTTGTTAACGATGTCGTCCATAGGCTAAAAGAAGGAAAAAGTGTATAATTAATGAAAGTTGACCTATCTTCATGCTCCTATAGGTGCCTTCGAAAATCCGCAAAATTCAAAAAAGGTAAGTATAATTGCGTTATAAAAATACTAAGAATCTTCGGCCAAAGAATTTTCAGTTCCAACCATTAACGTTTTCATACAGGTCTGTTGCAAGGACCAACTCCCAATCTTTTAATAAAGGCGACGCATAAATGTCCCTTCCCCCCATGGGATATAGAGGACATGTTAGGGGTCTGTCATAGCATGTTGGCATGACATAATGACAGTTATCAGGGTAAAATACGCACCAGTTCTGCCTGAGGATGGTTCATGACTGCCACCATGTTATTGCCTTGACGATATACTCGTCTTCTCTTGCCAAATGGCTCCAAGAACTTAAAATAGTTTACTCTAAAAAGATTGATCAAAAAAATGTATTATCTAAAGTGGCAAAGCCCCATCAGCACATCTATCATCATCATTATAACCACCCATTACCATAAACATCATTAACATCATCGTCATCATCTATTACCGCTACTAATACCGTTCCCATGATCTTCACCACCGCTACCACCACCACCGTCGCCATCATCACCACCACCACCCCAATCATCACCCGGGGGGGGGCATCATCATCATCATCATCATTATCACCGCTACTACTACCTACTACCATAATCTTTACCACCACCACCGTCGTCATCATCATCATCATCACCACCACCACCATCATCATCACCATCACCGCTTTACTGCCGTCTCCATAATCTTTACTACCAACACCATCATCATCCCCGTCGTAATATTCATCATATCAGCTTCATCATCATCATCATCATCATCACAATGGCAATATTCATCACACCAACAAGYTCAGGTAGTCCAACTTCCGGATCGTGTTTTACATACAATGGGTAAAAGAAATTGAGGGAGATGTAGTTATTTTTTCATTACTTGTTTTCTTTCTTGGGGTCGAATTTATCGCAGGTAACAGTGCATTCGTAGTCAGTCATTTCTACGCACAGATCTTGTAACACGTCCTGAAGGGAATAAAACTGTTAGACGAGATTCGATTAAAGGTTCAAAAGTGAATTATTCTACTGAGTCCCTGCGTGATTTTTGACGCCCTGTTTCCCCTCCCACATGTTGTGGACCTTGGCTGCTGTATCAAAAGGTTCAGATTAAATAGGCCATCTCTCTATAATGAAAAATATAATAACCTACAAAGATATTATTTATTTATTATTCAATCATTATTTATTATTTTTTCCAAATTTTGTTTAAATCTTATGATATAATTACCAGAATTTCAGAATTATAGCGGAGCTCCCGCGCGRGCGGAGAGCACCATAGGTATAGAATATGGTAAACTATCCAACTCAGTTTTCGTGGTCATCGCATGGGAACAATGTGCGTAACGCTAAAAGTGTCGCCCGCTAGGTGTACATCGCGTTTCTGATTGGTCGAGCTATTTCTTTTTTAATATTAAAAATGAAACAAAAAATTTTGGCATCACGAAGAATTGCCGATAATTTGAAAGCCCTGAATTAATTAGCGAAGCCTCTGATCCGCTCTGTTGCGCGCGAAGTTCAAATATCAAGGCTGAATAGACCTTATTCGTGGTGTGACAATCTTTTCCCAATTCAACGTGACAAACCTCTGGGGAAATGATGAGCTATTGTTTTGCAACTCGTCGGGATATCATTGTTATTCCTTTCGTATCCTTTGGGATACTCATGAATTTTTCGAAGAGTAAAAACAAAAGAAAATGAATCCTCTGGAGGTTTGTCACGCTGAATTGGGAAAACATTGTCACACCACGAATAAGGTCTATTTACAAAGAAAATGGCCAAAATAACGTCAGTACCACTAGCTTATTTGTCTCCAACTTTTACGATTTTTGATAATTCACTCTCTTTCAAGCGGGTTATTACACTTGAAATGTCTATCTAAGTACTGGAATGTTTGGCTTGCTTTACCCCGTTATACGCATTGGTAATCGATAGTTAATTTCAAGTAATTTTTGGAGACTTTTAGCATGGGACGGCTAGTTATGCAACTTTTGGAAGTCAATAACTTGAGAATTTTCCATAGAAGTGTGTCCCTTTCAAGGGGATTATATATTGTATACTTCTAATTTCAGTAATGAGTRGGGAAAAAATTGGTTTATGGCCAGGAAATCATGAAAAACTTGGACTACTCCACAGTAATGAGCAATTGCCTAATTTGTATTCATGGTCTTTGGAGTTCTGACTCATTGGAATTCAAAATTCGGACTTCGCGCTTGATCTAAGGCCCCGTCCACACTAGCCTGCTGTGCCGACGTTTTCAGTGTCGGTTCGTTCCTTTCCCTCCCCACARACGYCTGCTCAAACTAGCCACACATTCCTTTCCCTTTGTTTCATCGGACCAATCAGCAACGCCAWCAATATTGTAAACAACTGCCCACATTCAAATTCCTGTGAAAACGTATCGTCCAAAGTTCGTAAATCCTCGTATAAAATATTAATAATTTCCAAATCTATATGGAAAGGACTCATAAGAAAGTTGTAGKAGCTGAATCTAACCGCTTTTTATGTTCGTGTGAGCGTGTGAGGGAGTCGTAAATGAAAAGATAAGAATATATGACAAATCTACCGTCGACATCAAAGAACTTATCGAAAAAGTACTGGACATCGAGCTCAGTCTTTGTGATTCAAACAGTATAAGTAAATCATCGATTTTCCAGMTCCTGTTAGAAGATTTACGAAAACGTCTCGTTTTTCAGAGACGAAGCACTTTATCAAGGATTCTTTCTGATACGAATTAGGATCGCTTATCTAAATTTCGCAGACATTTCTAAAGGCTTCATCAATATCAAAGTGAGCCAAGGTGAAGGTCAGCTTCCAGCATTTCGGGAGGCGCGCTCTGATTGGTCAATCTAAGGGAAAGGAATRTGTGGCTAGTTTGAGAAGACGTTTGTGGGGAGGGAAAGGAACGAGCCGACACTAAAAACGTCTGCACAGCAGGCTACGTCCACACGTATCCGGAAATTTTTGTATCCGCAAATTATATTTTGCGGATAAAAAATGTTTGCGTCCACACGCAGCGTATTCGAATCGTTTTCACCGTCCACACGTATCCGTTTTCGTAAAATTTGMGGATACGGACACTAAAATTTGCGGACACGTGTGGACGCAACCCGTATCCGCAAAAAAAATTTGCGGATACAAAAATTTGCGGATACGTGTGGACGGGGCCTAAAAACAGCTATCAGCAGGCTCCGCCGAGGCSATCGACCAACATAGGCGGTAACAAACGAGAAAATGATTCTAGTGATTCATAGATCTAGTCAGAGTAAACTCATACTCGAATACGGCATCTTGTAGTTTATTCGTTGCCAAGAAACTATAAAAAATCCGAACAACACTCCTGATTCTAGTGACTTATAGATCTAGTCAGAGTAAACTCATACTCGAATACGGCCGGCATCTTATAGTTTATTCGATGCCAAGAAACTATAAACAATAGTCTTGTTGTTGTCTTGTTGTCTTGTGTCTTGTTGTTTGATCGCAGTTGGGGGAAATCAAACGGCAAACACAAACAACGAGTTAATCTGAGAAGACTCGAATTTTCAGAGTAAAATCATCCTGAATATCTTTAAGTTTTATACCCCGCTCACATCATAGACGTGTTTAGTTATGGTTAAGATTTTCATCAATTTTCTAAACCTGTTTAGTTAAACCCATTTTCAAACATGTTCAAACCTTGGTATGAACGGGGTATGACTCCAAGGCCCCGTCCACACGTATCCGGACATTTTTGTATYCGCAAATTTTTTTTGCGGATAAAGGGTTGCGTCCACACGTGTCCGGAAATTTTTGTGTCAGTATCCTCAAATTTTACGAAAACGGATACGTGTGGACGGTGAAAACGATTCGAAAACGATTCGAAACCGATTCGAATACGCTGCGTGAGGACGCAAACATTTTCGTATCCGCAAGAAAAAATTTGCGGATACAAAGATTTCCGGATACGTGTGGACGGGGCCCAAGTGATCGATGTTTTGAAAAACTTTGAGTTTCTTGTTCTTCATAAATATGTAACGATCAACGAATGTGCAATCAAACTGGGAATATTCCTTGATCTTGAAGAGTCTTCCGGAGCTTCATCGGAAAAAAAACCGAACAGTCATCGTTTAACCTTCGTAAAATTTTGATTGACGGTTTTTGTATACCCAGAGGATTAAGGCCCCGTCCACTCGTATCCGCAAATTTTTTTTGTGGATACGGGTTGCGTCCACACGTGCCCGCAAATTTTTGTGTCCGTATCCGCAAATTTTACGAAAACGGATACGTGTGGACGGTGAAAACGATTCGAATACGCTTCGTATGGACGCAAACATTTTCGTATCCGCCAAAAAAAAATTGGCGGATACAAAAATTTCCGGATACGTGTGGACGGGGCCTAATAGTGTCTGCTTTAGTACATTTTGACGAGGGATCTATTCCCTAGAGAAAATCAATGCAGCCAATCACAGCTTTGACACTTTATGCATACATTTTCATACATTTTCGCGCTCTGGTGGTCAGTGTCCGCAGAACAATAGCGATTCTGCGTGATGAAGAAATCATGAAAGAAAAGAATTCGYMACAGTGTGAAGATAAAGGTTAGAGCATTTTCTATTTTGTTTTATTTAGTGAGGATAAAATAACTACAATATTACCGAAAAATGACAGCAAACTAGYATGAAGAACGAGCGAAAAAAGTGTACTTGTTTTGTTGTTATGGTAAGAGTACTCGTAATTCTTACATGATATAAAGTAGTCATTTAAAAAAGCACTTTTTGGATTCCTCAAATTAAACAAATCTAAGAGTATGACAAAGTTTATAACTAAATTTAAACATAGCTAAAACGAGCATCAAACTAGCATGTCGAAAGAGCAAAAGAAGTGTACTTGTTTTATTATTTTGGTAAGAGTACTCCTAGTTCTTACATGATATAAAGAACTTGGTCATTGGAAAAAGCACTTTTTGAATTCCACAAATTAAACAAATCCAAGAGATTTTTGACAAAGTTTAAAGCTATAAATAACATGCCTAAAATTACCGGCAAACGAGCAACGAACTAGAATGACAAACGTGCGAAAAAAGTGTACCTGTTATTATGGTAAGAGTACTTTCATATTAACTTTCATTTAATAGTTTTATATCTTTATACAGAAAATTTATTTAAATATTGAATGACATATAAATATACACCAAATATTCAACTGTTTATTGAGCTTTTCGACCTAGAGTGCAAACAATTAATCCGTGAAACACTAATTACTAAATAGTACAAAATAGTGCTAATCAAACAATAGAAAACAATGGAATTTGTATGAAATTGTGCTATTTAGTATTACTAAAGTTTCACGGTTATATTATTTGCACTCTAGTATATGATTATGAAAATGAGCTTAAATTTGTAAAGAGCGGTACCTTGTCTTTTAGATTTCACTTTCAAAAGCTAAAACAAATATTCAAAAACATTTACAAATGCTAATTTACTGACAAAGAAAATTGGTATTTTGTATTTTATACTGCTTTTTGCATTATTTTCCATTTTATCTCAGTTGTTCTTGTCAAGTTTTAATGTAAAGTTTGTATTAAATTGAATTTCAAAATCTAGTAAGCTTATGCTTTCAAGCCTCCCGAAAAACCAATAGTTAAGGCTTTTATGAATGAAAATACGGTTCTTGTAAAAACATAAAACTTTTCATGTGGATAATTAACCAAACCTTGTTATGCAAAAGAAGTAAAAGTAATCTTATATATTGTCAAGTCTGTTTAGTCATAGTCTTGATTTGTCCATAAAAAGTTCGGGAATCTCCAAAATTTCGATTTCAATGAAAGACAAGGTAAATTTCACTAAACCTGATATTGTATTTAACAAATAAAATACATTTACTGTGTTTGCACACGCAAATGCAAACCGAGATGTGTTTGGGAGAATTCGAGAGCAGATCAGTGCAAACACGAGCCGCGAGTGTTTGCACCTGCTCGAGAATTCTCCCAACCACATCGAGGTTTGCATTAGTCTATTATAGTCTAGAATAAAATTATTTTCTTCAAAAACAAAAATAACGAAACACGATCAAATAAAACAGAAGAATTTAGTTCAAAGTTTTGAATACAAATTCTCCTTACATACTTGTGCATTTGCAATAACCAATCAGATTGCGCGAAAGAAGACCCTTAACCAATCAAATTGCGAGTTTGATACACGCCTCCAAGCATGAAATTCAAGTTGAAAATTTCTTATTTCAAAGTGAGAAGCCAAACTTTAGCGACTTTCTCCCTCGAGAAAGAGGCTTTTACAAGCAAATCTTGATAAAATAATAATTCCAAAGCTTAACCAATGGCTTTAGTCATTCTAGACCGAAAAGAAAACACTATTTTGAGAGCTAGAACTCGCTAAATTCARGCTTGAWTTCCGTCGGTGTTGTCGAAAGAGTTCGTCGAAATTCTCCGAGTTCAGGCTGGCAAATCTGGATTTTTTCTTTTTTGTTGAAGGCTGTTCTGGTGGTTCTACTATTTCAGATGCTTCCTCAGGAAAGTAAAAGTTTAAGCTTGGAAAATTAGCCATATTATTTGTGTATAMGTACAACTTCCAAACAAAACTCAAATTTTCCCGCCGGTGTCGACACGCGTCACAACCGTGTTTGCACAGGGAAATGCAAACACGGCTCTCGGCCAATCACAGCACGCGTACTATCTGAATTATTTTATAATGGATTATCTGTGGTTATCTTTCGCTTTTCATGTAAAATTAACGAGAAATCCAAAGCTTAAAAATGTCGGCCATGGAAAACTTTGTCGAAGAATCTTCCAAGAACAAAACAAGCCCCTGGGGTGGCTGGTGGTGAGTTGTGTACATAATTCGAGAGTATTCTCGCGCAAGGAAAACGATGCAGTGCATTTTGTTTCGATTTCAGTGCATGATTTTTATTATGGGAGACATTATCTTCATCTCGAATAAGAAACATTTTTCCCGATTTTAATTTTGTCTTCCAGATTCATTTAAATTGGGCTCCCTGTGCCTTGCGTATCGGGAGCTCCGMTTTTAGGCAGTGCCTAAATATATTTAATATTATATACATAAAGCACTGTTTCCATGGCAATAGATGGTGTACACCAACCTTAAAATCGTCCCGAGTGACAAATCCTGTTCCCTTGGGGTCGAGGAAGGATAACTGGTCTCGAAGCTTTTCCCAGTGAAAGCCCACTTTTGATTTGAGTTGTTCGAACAACATATCAACTGCACTGTTGAGTTTGTTGGATCGCATCATGAAGTCATTGTCGCCTCTTTTTGGAGGGGACACTTTAGCATTGGGAAAAGCTGAAAGAAGAATTAAGCAATGGTCAATGCTTAGCGTGCGTAAATCTATTGATGGTGCACGCGGATAGTTGGGAGAGCACGTTGGTAGCGTAAAAGTTGAACGAGGCTTTTATAACATAAAGAACAACTTCACGAGATATTGCGATTCAGATAATTTAGATAAAATTCGCTCTGATCAAATCACAGATTCTCCTAAGATGCGAGCACGATACTTTTCGAGCTAAATTTGAAATCAGTCGGAGCAAAAACAGCTCAATTTGTATTTTAAACTTCATTCTTAAAACCCTTCCCGAGAAATCTATGTAAGGGGAGCAGTTTCTAAATTATATTCTTAGACGTTTTCATTCACAAAAAAGTTATAAAGTTAATTTGACTAAGAAGAAGTCGATTTAGCGATCTTCGTTGTAGCTTGGCTGCATCACAAATTATTTGAACATTTACATTTTGAAAGGTAATTTTTTCGAAAACTAAGTCTAAAGAATGCATCAGTAGCCTTACTTGGACTCCAGGGAAGCAGTTCCTATAAACGTTTTCATTTACGAGAAATTCTTAAAGTTAATTTGACTGAGGAGAAGTCGATTTAGCGATTTCGTTGGCGCTTGGCTGCATCACAAACTATCTGAACATTTTGTACTGTGATTTTTTCGAAAACTGAGTCGAAAAAATGCATCAATGCCTTTAMTTGGACTCCAGTAACCATCGTGGTGTTTTGCTGGACTGCTGTGGTGACCTGTACGGCGGATTGAGCGATAAAAACTGAACTAATTGACTTCTCAACTGCAAGACTTTTTGATTTCGCTGCAGTGCGCTGGCCGGTGGAGGGGCGAGTTTTTTAGTAAGCCAAAATTGAGCTCAAACAAATACGCTATAAACTTTTTATGGAAAGGAAATCAATAGTTATATTTTATCCTTAAATGTACAGAAAGGTAGACCAGTTAGTAGTTTTTTTTAGTTTTATCTGAATGCTTGCAGTTTTCACCGAATTTTCACCAACTTGACGTCACCAGCGTGCGCCATACGAGTGCTCCATACATTTATTCTTCATAGGTGGTRAACCAATCACAGCGCGATTTATCTTAGTTATGTTATAAAACAATAGACCTCTTTAGCTTGGACGTAATGTTTTCTAATTTCAGACCACGTGTCATTCCCTTAAATTCGTTGTTTGAATTGTATCCATATTCATGTATTTCCTCTTGCGCAACCTTTGAGCAACATTTTTTTCTCTAGGAAATGACACGTGGTCTGAAATGGGAAAACATTACGCTGAAGCTAAAGAGGTCTATTGGGCGTAAGATAATTTCATTTTTGTTAAATATATTTTTATTTTCTACTTCTTCCTAAGACGTGGGCTCCCCAACCTACCTGCGGAATCCAGTGAATACCCAAAATGCCTCACGAACTGTAAATACTCGAGGTGACCTCGTTGATCTGTGATAAATGTATCCCATAATCTCTTGATCTCATTTCGATTAACGTCGACTCCAAACCTGTTGAATAGACAGTAAACAGAATGGTTACCCACATGATAAACTGAGCCAACATAGATGTCATGTCATGACAAAAGTGTGATAATAAATCATTGCAAATTTACATTACTCAACATCCGAAAACCCAGGCATCAACATGTAGCACTTTCATCGCCTTCCACGAAGCAAGAAAGGCTGATCCAGGATTTTTAAAATAGGGAATTTTGAAATGTCGAAATTTTGTTGCCAGGCAAAAAAAAAAAAGGTGGCGCGAACGGCTTAACAAAAGCCTAGGGGGTTCCAATTAATCTATTGAGTGTAAAGAACAACAGCTTCTCAAAATCTTACAAAGGGGACTCATTGAACCACCCCTGGATAAGCTATTAAGCTCATATGAATTATCTTGTAGGGCACATTCAACTTACTTGCGCAATAACTTGGCCATCATGTTCTGTGTAAGGCGCTTACTGTTGAACTCATCCAATTCATAAAACGCCTGAGGAAAATCACAATAAATAATAGAATAGTTCAAATAATGATGTGCTTTAATGGTTATCAAATGGGCCCTTCTCAAAATTCACAAATTCCATCGAAAAAAAGTCTGATTTCTTTTATATTTTCATAATAACTTCGCATCCAAGGTAATAGGCATAAATCTAGCCTAGCACAAATCTAGCAGAGAGAGAGAGTGTGTGTGTGGGGGGGGAGGGGGGGAGAGGGAATTTGAAATGTCCAGAATAATTCTTAACACCCCCACCCCTTTAAGGTCATGCAAAAAAATACGATCCCCCCTAACCAAGGCTGGTAGCTTCTTCCAACAATTATATTATATCCCCCTATTTTTCTGATAAAAATGTTCCCATTCCCCCCTCAATTTTACCTCCCAACCCCCCCCTTAAAGTAATGCAAAAAAATACGATCGCCCC